CCCTTTTAATTGTGATCACTACTGAACACTTTCATCACTGCATGAGGCCTACACCCAGAGACGAGCCTCATGCCATAGGTCTGATCATGCGAATACTGGGAATGCTTCGAATACTGGGAATGCTTCAAATACTACGGTAGTACATGCAACGATACTGTATGGCCAATTTCTCACGCTCAAAAGAAAGACAGGTGTATGATGCCTAACTGTTGTAGTGTCCATAGGCAAGACACTTTGACTAGAATGAGTCTGGTGTGTGTGTGTGTGTGTGTGTGTGTGTGTGTGTGTGTGTGTGTGTGTGTGTGTGAATGGCTGGTGGTGGTCGGAGGGGCCGATGGCACATACTGGTTGCCTCGCTTCTGTCAGTGTGCCCCAGGGCAGCTGTGGCACCACGGTATATGGAGTGAAAGAATAAAGACATGTGAAGCGTCTTTGAGTGTCCAAAAAAGCACTGTATACCGTCATTGTGTTTGGTTCTATCACTATCACAAACATGTATTTTTAGCCTCAGAAAAGCGTCAAATAGTGACTCACGGAGCTCTCTCTTATAAATAGGCAACAGACCAGACAAAGGCAGCATGTGGTGAAGTGTTTCTTTGCCGATACAGTGATATTTCATTTAAAGTTGCATTTCTTTAATGCAGTGGTCCCCAAACTACGGCCCACTTTGGCCCACTTTGGCCCACTTTGGCCCACTTAGGTTTTTTGTATCTGTGTATTTGTATTTGATAAAGTTGGACTTTTGCAATTAAATGTTCCTTAGTAATGAACTATTTTCATTATTGACTATTAGTTAGCAACTATTTCATACACGCATATAACTTTACATTCTGTGGTCTGTGCCCTTATCTGGCAACCCCCAGAACAATCGTAAACGCAGCCCTCTCAAAGGAATAATGGGGAAAAGATTAGGTAGGAGAAACATTTAATCAGAGTGCAGGGCATTTAACCTGCAAAGGACAAACGCAGGTTGAGCAGCCGTCCTTCTGTGGACTCACCACCAGAGGGTCAGTGAGGGGCTGGTGCTATGAGACTTGGGTGGCATCTCTGATTGCCACCCCCCTGACCCAGAAATGGATTAAAGGGTAGAAAATGGATGGATGGATGGAGGACAAACGGTTATTTTTTTGTTCTGTCTGTCTCATCTGTCAAGAGGCGGTGGCGATATTACAACAAAACAAACAAAAAATCTGCGCGACACTATACAGTACATTACAAACTGACCCGGCCCCCCATCAGAGAAGGGAAAAGTTATGTGGCCCTCACAGGAAAAGAAAAGTTTGGAGACCCCTATTTTAATGGGTAAGGACACCATTTTAAGAAATCATTAGTTATTCAAAAGTATTTCCGCTTCTGCGTTTCCCCCTCATTGATCATGTTTGTCATCGTCCATTTCCTCTACCTGACAGAGTTACTGCAGTTCAAATACTTGTGATGCTCTTGTCGTTAGTCTGTATAAAGGTATGTGAGGTATGGTTACTTGTGGAACGATGACGACAGCGACATGAAATCCTCTGAACAGCTTTGTCCTCATTGAAAAGAATTTAAAAATAGGACTGTGAGAAAAGCCGTTTCTTAAGGTTCAAATGTCTGAGGAGACTTAAGTGTCACAAAAGAAAGTCGCAAATGACTAGACGCCGAGGAGACCAAAGGTAGAGCTTGATAAACTGTATTCAATCGTATTAGGTCTAAACCAGGTCACGACTGAGGAATAAACCAGATATAAACCACAGTTAAAGCTGGGGTACTTAACTTGTTTATTTCTTAAATAATAAGCTTTGTGTGTCCCAATGTAAAAGTTGAATGTTGCGAATAAATCAGACCTCAACATACTGTCTTCATCTTATTAAAAATTATTGTAAGAAAGAGCTCTGAGAATCACTATTTGACACTTTGGGCTCAGTGTTGATTGGCTGAGTGAAGGCGCTCTTCTATTTTGACCTTTTCTGTCTGAAAAAGTTGATCTAAAGATGTGACAAAAAGCCACTAAAACTACATGTACATGTAGTAACAGAACCAAATGTGTTCTCTGCATTTGACCCAAGCCTCAGTCTGGAGCAGTGGTTGCCGTGTATAGGAGGATCTTTATAGTATCTCTGTATAGCGCACAGGGACCCATCTCTAAATGTTGATGCTCTGCTTGGTCAGAACCGGAGCAGAAGGATTTTACCCATTGTACATGTTTTAGTGGTAGGGAATACCGGAGTACCAAGAGGAAACCTTCACAGACATGGGGAGAGCATGCAAACTCCACTCAGAAAGGGAAATCCGACCAGGGTTTGAACGTTTGAACTTAGAAACTTCTTGCTGAGAAGCGAGAGTCCTAACCATTTGATACTAGTGTTAAATACAACCACATTTGGGCATTTGAAAGTTAAGTCACCAAAAAAACTGATCAGACGACACCCCAGCTGTAACACTGAAGAGTAGAACAGTCATTCGTCCTAAGATAAGAACCCTGCCAGGGAGTAAACAAGAGTTAAGAGGTAAACATCATCAGTGGTCGCATCATTCATCCAAGACCAGCTCTTCCTAGTGGCTCGCGGCCTGACCTCCCTCTCCCATTGGCTGGAAGCGGGTCGTGCGGGTCATTGGACCGTTTTGGCTTTGGCCGGTTGCCATGGGAACAGGTCTACGTGCCGGTCGAGGGGCAGAGTGTCCCTTGTCCAGGACTTTGGGTCTTTGTCTCTGGTCACATGACTCCGCCTACTCACGACCTGTTTTTTACAATTACTCCAATGTTTGTATTTGGTCATAACAGTTTTCCATCTCATTTGTGTTGCTTTGAGCGTGTGAAAGACGGCTGCAGACGCCAGTGCTTTGGCTATTCCCATTATCACCTCTGCACGCCTCTTTGATACAGCCTCTGCTCATACTATTACAGACTCAGATTATTCATTCCAAACCCGCACACATTTATACATCTATTCGCACACAGATATACAGGAGAAATTAGTACACGGGTCAAAAAGTTCTGTAATTCAACTTAAATTGTTAAACTTACTGTATATATGACAGATTCAATGCCTTTTGAAAAATATATTTTTTGTTTGTAATTGGCTCGCAGCTTGTAAAAACCCCAAACAAAATGTACTAGAATATTTGAAAAAAAAAAAGCTAAAATCAAGCAATGCTTACACTGGTGTTGTACTTTGTAAAGTCATCCAAAAAACGGCTGCTGTGATTTAATCTCCATAATTAATTGAATTATTAAATTTCAGATGACACAATGTGAAATAGCCCATGGCCTCCTGACATCTCAATCACAAGTGTGTGAAATTCCCACTTCCTCTTTCCACATCACGTGCTCTTGATTCAAGGTTGCAAAAAACCTTTGGTAAATTCATGCTTTTTCCGACTGAGGTATTGTTATTGTACGTTTAGTTTAGTTCCAGAATAACAATAGATATGAGATCTGTAGTGGGTTCACTGAGCTGAGAGGAGAATTCTCAGAAACTGTAACTACTAAAAACACCAGCATGAGCCACGAGGAAACAGGTTTGAGCCAGCTCTGAAACAAGGACTAGAACCATGTCTAACCAGGTCTGAGCAAGCCCAGACTGAACCAGGTCTGAACCAGGTCTGAACCAGGACTGAACCACTATAGGACTGAACCACAACTGATCCAAAACAGGTCTTTCCTCTGAACAGTTTTAGAATTATTTTAACATAAAACACAGAACAGTTAAAATAACTTGTATGCTCTTTATTGAGTTAGAAAAAGTATGTATTTGTGGTGTTATCATTGTGGTGTCTGACCCAGTGGACTTTTGTCTCCCATCAGACCTGTGTGGAGCAGAGGAAGGGGAGTGCAGGATGTGGTCACACCACTGTGGCTTTTTGTGTTTATGTTTACCCTTGAAATCAAAGGGAAGTTGAGTTAAGGTGGCATACTATGCCACGTCATCACAAACAAACAAATAATACTCAAAGCATGCAAGGTTTTTTGAGGTTATAAAGTGTTTCTCACACTGACCAGAGAAATATGAATCTGTCTGGGCAGAAATATGACGCGTTTGGATTTACGGTAAGTTTCCGCTGCTCCAGGGTTTGCTTACTGTTAACATTGTGCTCAGACATGAGCAGGTCACAGGACCACAGAGTCCAGTCTTTGGTCTCTCACACTGCATCAGCTTGGACCAGATTTCTTGTCACGTGATCAAATTGTTTTAAGGCTATGCATGAAGTATTATTTGGCCTTTTGTGTCATGAAGAGTATAATAATACATTTTATTCCTTCAGTGCCTTTCTTGACACTCAAGGTTTCAAACTTTCAAACCACAAAATATATCACATCACATGTAGTAAAATCCCTTGCTCTCAAAACAAGCAGACAATAGTTTTCGCATCTTTGGCCTTTACCACATCACCTTCATTCAACCCAACACCAATCAAAGAGCTCTTAGTATTCAAAAGATAGATATTTGATATTTGATATAAAGATGAAGACAGCATGGCTTACGTTTACATAGTGTGTTATCCCAGCTTTAATCATTATAGGAATGTGATAGGAATGACTTTTAAATGTGACGAAACTGTGAGATGAAACTGAAGTCATGACACAGAATGAGACATGACGTAATCGCGCAGCGCGTATGATTTATTAGAATAACTCACTTGTTTATATTAAATGTATATGTCCAGAGCTCCAGGCCCATCCCCCGGACCTGACCACACTCTGACCCATGAGTCAGCCTGCTCTCCGGGACAGCAGCTATGAGCCTCGCGGAGCCGGAGAAAAATGCTGTTAGTGGGGATTTTGGGTTTGTGCAAGAGCAGGGAGTGTCTTTACTGCGGGGCGTTACTAAAAACACAACCTGAACTGCCCCCCACAGACGCGGCTTATAAAAACCTGCTCCAGCCGACAGAAGAACAGAACAACCTCAGAACACAGCTCTCAGAAACTCAAAGACAAGAAGCAAGAGCCACTGAGACACTACTCATATCAGAGAGAAACAAACAGCGCCTAAAGACAAACTTCCATGCAGAGCCTGACACATATGGAGACCGTGCCGCTGTTGGAGAGACGCGCCCGGTTCGCGGAGTGCCGCTTTTCTGCCCGGAGCACGGAGCCGGAGGTGTTCACGTTCGAGAGGATTCCTCCACAGACCGCGGCGCTCAGCTGCTATGCACCCATCCGCCCCAAGAAGCGCTGCACACGGGTCATGTACCCGGCCAAAGTGCGCATGCACCTCCCGCCGCCGGAGCGCAGCGTCGCGAAGCGCGCCCTGCTGCTGCTGCTGCTGGTCCTGCTGTGGCAGATCTACACAGAGGAGCCCGAGCTGGAGACCCCCACACGCACGGCCCCGAGCACCTGCCGGTCCTACGTGCCCGCACTCTTCTCCTCCCGCCACGAGAGCCCCATGTGTCCCGCCAGCCCGGAGCACACGCAGGAACCTAGCCGCTTCCAGGGCCCACGCAACAGCTACGTGGTCGCGCTGCTCGTGGCACACCGCCTGGGATCAGACTGAGCACACGCACGCGCCGGTCTAAACCAAGAGAAGACCCAGACTCTCAGAGAAATATCTCTAGCAACTTGAAGCTCAGACTGAAGCCGGTGACAGCGCACCAGAGACGGCCACAGAATGCCTGGAGTCCCGCTGAGTCCTGGATCAAACCAGGACTGCACCAGGATCAATCCCCAAGACTTGAAAATGCGACACTGAAAAACTGACAATAAGAGACTTGAAAAAACTGAAAAGACTTGAAATGAGTTCATGCGCTCGCGCACTATTATTACAGTAATATCATGAATGTTATTTAGTATTTATTGAAGTATTTGCTATTTATTATTTTTCTAATAAAACCATTTGAAATGAATGCATTTTGTCCCGTGTTTTCCTCATGCTTTATTTGAATATGTTTAGTTTTATCTGAAATGCAGGAAAATCTTACATAATGATTGGGTCTGACCCACTTTCTGTGAAGACAAAGGCACTTTTGTGGAGTTCAAGACTGAGGTTTATTTTTGCAAAAACAACTAAAGATTAGATTCTTTGGATTTAAAGGATATAAATGTCACATGATTGTATTAAAATACAATGCAATATAGACAAAAATGTATATTTTCAATTGGTCTTTTAATGAGTTTAATAAAATAAAAGTAAATGCAACAAAAACAACTAAAGTTGGACTAAAACTGATATTTCATGTTCCTTTGTGGATCAACTTTACTTTTAAACCATCTCGAAACAAACCCCAATGAGCAGAACAGAGTGTGTTGCTATTCTAAATATGGACTGACCAGGTTCAAACCAGGTCCAAACCAGGTCTGAGCCATCGGCAGGTCTTTCCCAGTTTATACTGACTCTTGATTACAAAATCAGTCAGTGTCTAAGTTGTGCTTGTTTTGGGCATCACCACGGCAACAGTGCTATCCCATAATTCCTCATGTATGTGTCGTGGTGGTGACAGGGATATCCCATAATGCCGAGGGGCATGAGTGTACCCAATACTGCATGGGTTGGTCTGACATAACTCTCAAACATACAGGATACGGCAGGATCCCTCAGAGTTTAGTCTTGGTTACATTAAATAAGCATTATTCCACACTTGAAATACCTGCTCATTCCAAGTAAAACAAACCAATAACCGGCATGTTTACAAAAATCTGCTGCATGTGGAAATTTGTTCGTTTGTTCGTTTCACATGGAAGCCGTGGTTTTGGAAAGACGCCTCACTGTGAGTGTGTGTCCTGACTTTGGGACTGACATTTTGTAAAGTAAAACAGTTCAGAAGAAGAAGAAGACAGTAGAGAAAGATAAGACATAAAACATCCATCTACCTACGTATATCTCTCGTTATATATATCTGTTTATCTTTATATATCAATCTATAGTTATATATCATTTTGTGGAAAAGCACAGGTTAAAAAAAATCTACTGAGTTTAACTTTAGTTTGCAATTAGTTACTTTCCCGCGATGAATGAACAGATGAGTCAGTCTTGTATAAACCCAGACCATGTAACTCGCCCTGCCAATTTCCTCTTCCTCATGCCCATATTAGGAACTGACCACTATCAAGACCAAGACGTTGGTCAAATTGTTGTGAAACATTAGAGATTTAAACAACATCTCAGAAAAAACAGAAATGAGAAATGTGCCTTTTACGTGTGAATAGTGGAGGAACTGGGTCACTGAGGGAGTTTTGGATTTGACTGGGTTCTCATATACTTGGCAAAGAGACAGTTATGCATAAATTATTTACGTTTTTAGCTTTTAACCAGGTTACAACATATGCTTCCTCATCAAAAACAAAACTGAACTTGTTTTTGATCCATCCAGGAACTTGTGGCACCCACCCATTCTCTCTAAAAGCTCTTTTAATCAGTAATGGGGAATTTTAGCAAATACATTCAAATACATTCTTTTCAACTTTATTTTGCTGTTAGTTTGAGATTTCAGATGTTTATTATGAAAGCTGGGTCGGCATGTTTCTGTCGTCATAACTGTTTCTTAATTCATACATTTGTGAGTGTTTTATTCTATTTTCTTAAACTTAAAAAGTAAAAATAATGCATAATTGTTGTTCACTAAACATAATGAGCATGAAGCCTGAAGGAGAAGTCCCTGAAGTCCCTGTGCTAGGGGGCCATATTATTGATTGAACAGATGCATGTCCACTTTGGACAAAACACAGCTCTCCTCTTTTCAGCAGGAAAACGTCGTTCTCTGGATGGAGACAATGACCAGAACTCTCATCGGAATCAAGCTAAAATGTGATTGGTTTCTGCCTCTACATGTGGTCTTCTTCTGTTTATGTGTGTAAATCATTAACACCAAATATGAAACGTTCACTGAGCAAGTATTTTATTCAAATTCTGGTCCAAAACGTTTTAGTTCGTTTAGGTTATCATTGGCAGCGTAAAAGTAGATACAGTTGTACTAGCAGCAGTATATATAGCAGTAGAACTAGTCACCATACTTATATGCAGTTGAGTAGTCATAGTTAGTTGCAGTTGTAGGAGGAGTTAGTTGAAGTAGCAGTTGCAGTAGCAGTAGTAGTAGTTGCTTTCAGTACTAGTAGTAGTAGTAGTAGTTGCTTGCAGTACTTGTAGTAGTAGTTGCAGTACTACTAGTAGTAGTAGTTGCTTACAGTACTAGTAGAAGTAGTTGGTTCCAGTACTAGTAGTAGTAGTAGTAGTTGGTTGCAATAGTGGTAGTTGTTGATTGCGGTACTAGTAGTAGTAGTAGTAGTAGTAGTAGTAGTAGTAGTGGTAGTTGGTTACAGTAGTAGTAGTAGTAGTTGCAGTACTAGTAGTAGTAGTAGTTTAAGTACTAGTAGTAGTAGTAGTAGTTGGTTACAGTAGTAGTTGAAGTACTAGTAGTAGTAGTAGTAGTTGAAGTACTAGTAGTAGTAGTAGTAGTTGAAGTACTAGTAGTAGTAGTAGTAGTTGAAGTACTACTAGTAGTAGTAGTAGTTGAAGTACTAGTAGTAGTAGTAGTAGTTGAAGTACTAGTAGTAGTAGTAGTAGTTGAAGTACTAGTAGTAGTAGTAGTAGTTGAAGTACTAGTAGTAGTAGTAGTAGTTGCAGTACTACAGTGTGTCGAGTCAAAGGAATGTGCAGAGGAGGAGTTTTCACTGAACTGTGACAAACCTCCCGGAAACAAGACCAGATTAAAGACTTGGACTGGACTTGGTCTGGACTAGGACTTACCCAGGACTGAACAAGGTCTGGACTTGGTCTATACCAGGACTAACCCAGGACTGAACAAGGACTGGACCAGGATTAACCCAGGACTGAACAAGGACTGGACCAGGAATTCCTCGCAGAATGGTTTTAGTAGACATTTTAACTGTCTTTTCAGCGCACAACCAACCCCACACCAAGTGCATCTTGAAGAAAATGTTAAAATAAAAATATTTGTCAAACAATTTCTCACACTTTTATGAAGATTTCAAACTTCGCTCGGTGCAGAATCTAGACAAAGCTTTTGTGCTCATTTTGTTCAACTACATCAGGAACAAAACTGAGGAAGAGGATCTTGAAGGAAACACTTGATACAATTAGAAGAAATGGTTGGCTTTGGTCCAAACCACAAATCACCGGAATGTTCCGTCTGAGGCTCGACCCAAACACACACAGACCAAACCTGTCAGGCCACATACTGCATCTTTACGTCTTATCAGTCATTGTTTAAGATTAATATAATTAATAGTTACCTAATGTAACTTAAGTTCTAGGAATAGGTGCGTCGTCCCTTAGGACTTCGCTAGTGGGATATCACTCGTGACCCCCAGGTCACACGCCAGAAAGATCAAAATAATTTGCTCCAATCACCAGCCACCATCCTCTATAAATGCCCCTGCACACAGCCGCACCCCCTCTTGAACTCTGCCAAGCCGGGCTGGCCTGATGGGCTCGTAGCTAAGGGACTACGCACCTATTCGTAGAACTTAAGTTACATTAGGTAACTATTAATTCTACGTCATGGTGCTACGTCCCTTAGGACTTTGCTAGTGGGACACAACGCGGATAACCTTGCCTGCAAGCTGAATTCTCGCGGTATTTGTGAGTTCACAAACACTCGAGAATACATCTTGTACCGCTCCCGCTTACACTTTTCGAGTCGAACCACTGGGTGTGCGAGCCAATCACGCGCCAGTCTGGGGGTTTAGGGCGGGATATCCGGGTTTGACGAAAGCAAGAAGTGCCGGGCCGAAGCAAAACAAACATGGCTACGCAGGAGGACGGACGCAAAGTCAGTTTTAGCAGAATCTCCAATTTCTTTTTTGAAAGATGAACAGCGAGAGGCGCTTTGTACATTTCTGGACGGCAACCTTGGTAGGCGGGCACACAGCGTCACTTCGCCCAATCAGCTTCAAGTATTCTGCTGCTTACCCCTCCTTTCCCCGAAAGGATTCTCCGGGAGAAATCCCAGATTGATATCGCGGAGAACGCGTTAGAGTTCTACACAATCATCAATCTGGCTTTTGCCAGGTTACAACGCGGAGGCCGTAGGAACATGTACTCCCAGCAGGCCAGCGAAGGGTGATTGGAGCTCCGCCCGAGCAAGACCCTCACACCGTGAGAGGACTCAGGGCAGAAGAAACAAGCGTGTTACAGGGCCACTCCTACCAAGGACGCCCCCACGTAACACAGACCGTATGTCATCCGTAGTCACAGGACGCCTCTCCCAAGAGCTCCTGATGTAGACTACCAGACCGATCAACACACATATATATACCGCACCTGTAGGATGCCTGAACCAGGGCGGAAAGCAAACCGAAGGCCCCCTCAGAAGAGGGACCTAACGGTCTAACTCAGTCCGCTGCACTCAGCACGGAATGGGCCACCGACCGGTCCGACACATCCAAAAGATAAGACCGGACGAAAGAGGAGGACCGACGCCCAAGAAGCCGCACGGCAGACGTCCTCGACCGACGCCCCCCTGAGAAGGGCCGTAGAGGCCGCCATCCCACGCGTGGAATGCGACCTGAAGCCCACCGGGGGGGCCAGACCCCACAGCC